ACTGATCAGTGTTAAAAAAGTGGCAAGACATTTATAATATGTGATATTACATATCAATAATACAATAATACGTAATACAATTAGCTGATTCTATAATTACTGAACATACCAAGGATGGATAAAGCTTTATCTGCTATGTTGTAAAGTGCCCAGATGTTTGGTGCCCAGTATGCATGACACAGACCGCGCTTGAAAGGGAAGAGTCTTGATAGGACCTGCGGAAGCTGACCCTAAGTAGATAAAAATGAATAAGTGAATAACTGTGACAAATAGAAAACTTAAAAATACTGATAACTTGATGAGATTTTGTAAGGTTTATAAGATTTTGAAAGAAATCTTGGTCACACTTTACAATAAGATGTCATTAGTTAATGTTAGTTAATGTATTTACTAAGAACAGCATTTATTAATCATAGTTCAAATCATGCTTATTAACATTAGTTAATGCACCATGAGTTAACAGGAACTAACAATGAACTACAACATTTTCATTAACTAATGCTATCTAACATGAATTAATACTGTAATGAATGCATTGTGAATTGTTTATGTTAGTAAATACATTAACTAACATTGACTAATACAACCTTATTGTAAAGCGTTACTGAAATATTTTATGCTCATCAAGGCTTTAGTTATTTGATTATAAATAACACCACACTCTATGATATTGTCACTTATTACAAATTTAAAATAAAAAGTTTTATTATTTCAAATTAATTTCTGCCATGACAGAAGCAAACTATTCCTGAGTGTCAATGTTTACTGTTATTTAGATTCACTCTAGGCAAATTAACATCTTTATATTTTTGCTATTTTTTATACAGTTGCTATCTTTATTAATAAGAAATTACAGAAAATAGAAAGATTAAAATTTAACCATTAACAAACACAGAACCCTTTATTCCACAAAAAAATGTTTAGTAACTATAAATTATTTTTTAAATATCGCAGTTACACTTTATTTTGATGGTCTGTTTGCTGGATTTAAGTTACATTGCCAACTAATTCTCACTAGATTATAAGTAGACTGTTAGGTGGAGGTGTAAAGTTTCTCATAGTCAGTTAAAAGTCTGTTGAAGACTTAGTATCAGGAGGTATTAAACAGACAGTCTACTGATACTCAAATGGGCCATTAAAATAAAGTCTAACCAATAACATTTATAATATAATATACAATTTCAAATACCTTTTAAAATAATTAGTAATTATACATAACTTTTATTTTAACAAATTAACTAGCTAAATAATTAAATGGGAAAACACACACACACACACACACACACACACACACACACATATACATATACATATACATATATATATATATATATATATATATATATATATATATATATATATATATATATATATATATATATATGTATATGTATATGTATATGTATATGTACATTCATATCCACACACACACACACATAGTCAAGCCCAAAATTATTTATACCCCATATATATATATATATATATATATATATATATATATATATATATATATATATATATATATATATATATATATATATATATGTGTGTGTATGTGTGTGTGTGTGTGTGTGTGTGTGTGTGTGTGTGTGTGTGTGTGTGTGTGTGTGTGTGTGTGTGATTAACAAACCAGTGCTAGAAAGGGTCCGATTGACACAGCAAAAGTAGACAAGACAATAGTTCCAAGTGCTACAAGTCGCAAGACACTGAAACTTCTCCATGACAAAGACCCATCTAGGAAAAAAAAAAATTTTTTTTATGATGATAAACAATTTTTATTAATTTACTTTTATTAATTATGGAGAAAAAGCATAAAATAAATTACCTGGATTGCTCTGGGTGAAACAAAAACATCTTAGCAGAAAGATACCGTATGCAGGTGCAATGTATAGATATATATGCTTCAAGTTTAAAAGTATTGAAAACAGCAAGGCTCCCTCTAAGTGTCTGTTCTGTCAACATACACAAAAAAACCTATTGAAGCAAACTTTCCAAATATTTTAAATAAAGTTTTATTACAATACATGGTGTTTAAAATATATTTAACAAACTCCAGTTTTCCTATTTTGAAGGCTTACTGATTAAAACAAATTACAGCCAATACCTGTAAATGCCTTGCTATTGACAGGAGAAGAATTCCAAACAGGAAGCCGTTATACTGGAAATGAATATCTGCAGCAAATCAGTCAAGTGAAATTAATTTCAGGTTAGAGAATAGACAGGTCTGAGCCACAGCAGGAAATGCATGACTGAACTCATTAATGAGCAAAGTCTCAAAGGATACGATCAACAATTAGAAGACCAAAGTTCCACAACAACAACACCGTCAGGATAAAAGATGGCTTTTCCAGAAGGTCTTTTCCTTTGTCTTCTCGCAAACATTTACAACATCTAAAATATTATAAAAATAAAACAAATAAAATTCAATGTAAACTATCTCTAAAATTGTCTGTTGAAAAAAAATCTTTTGTTAGACTTTATTTAAGGAGATATAGTTACACTTTATTTTTTCATTTAAGTACTGAGTAGTTACATGCAATTACTACATGGTTGCTGTTAGAATTTAGGTTAGGTTTAATTACATGCAATTATGCATAATACATTGTATTTACTATAGTAACTGCACGGAACATGTATAACTAGATCACCTTACATTACAATGTTACCATATCCTTTAATAAAAAAAGAAAATGGTGGTTTGTGTAAAGGTAATAATACTTAAGTGTGTAGCATGTAGACAAAACATACTCTTTAACTGCATAAAACAAGACTGCATCGGTCACGATGACTGAAAGCCTTTGAAAAAGGACTGTTGCTGGACTTGCATAATTCAGATTTTCAACAACCAGCATCTCCTTATCAAAAAATCGGGCAATATGAGAAAGTCCATATTCAAACCAGGCAAACAGAGGAGGATAATCCAACGTCCACTCAGATGTAGCCTGTAAAAATAAAGATTAAACCACAAAAATAAGACTTAGTTTTATTTAGTTTGTTATTTATGGCCACTATATTAGGTACATCTATTCAACTATGTTCAACACAAATATCTATATAACGAAATATCAGCCAATCACATTGCAGCAATTTAATGCATTTAGGCATTTAAATGTGGTCAAAATGATATACTGAATTTTAAACTGAGCATCAGAATGGAGACGAGCTGTGATTTAACTAATGTTTTGAGTAGGGAATTGTTGTTGGATGCAGATAAGCTGGTATTTAGAAACTGCTTAATGGAAAAAAACTAAAGTATGTCTGTGTGATATGTTGATTAACTCCAGATATTTGAGGAAAATGACTAAATTGGTCGAGCAGGCAGAAGAGTAAAAGTAACTCAAAAAACCACTAATGCCTGGTAATAACCAACGTCTGCAGAACAGCATCTGTAATCAAAATTTCAAACCTTGAAGTAGATGAGCTACAGCAGCAGAAAAAGTTCACAGCAGGGACACAAATAAACTGAGGTCACAGTTTACATGCACTCACTAAAACAGAACAATGATAGACTGGGAAAAGACCAAATTGCTGGTCAAATTAGTCTTTTTTATGCAGAAACGTTTCACTTGTATGTTCAGAATTTGTTGTAAAAAAATAATAGTATAAAGTTGATAAATATGTGTGTTGCTGTCATGTAAACAGGGAAATGTTTCCAGCACCTGTCTGAACCTTAAAATCCGTCATAAAGTAACTCTGAAGGCAAACCAAAATGGTTTATACTGGTCACAGCATGGTGTACCTAATAAAGTGGCAAGTGAGCGTAATAGTATTAATACTAATAGTAGAAAGAAAGAAAGATATTTTGCATAAGAAAAAAAAACCATGCAATCCATATGACTACCTCATAATACCACTGAGAGACTGGCAGACTGTGAGTCAGGGCGAGCCAGTTCCTATGCACTTCAAAATCCGTAGAGTGACTGAAATACAAAAAAGTTTTAAAAATGACAATTTTATACAAAACAGCTTTACATTATGCGAGTGTTTTCCACTTCTGTAAATGAGAACAAAATGAATGAATCTTGGCTATTTCCTCATTCTTACTACAATGAACACAACTTTAAATGTGTTAGTCAAATGAAAGAAAATGTACATGTTGTGAGATGACTTCACTTACTATGCATTTATCAGGAGACATTTCAGAAATGAAACTCCGAGTGCCAAAGCAAAAAACCAGCTCTGGTCGTTAGTCATGGACGCCGCCATGACAGTCTGCTGGAGAAAGGAAAAATACAGCCTTCGAGTGGAACTACCGTGTTGCAATGAAACTGTTCTCCATTAAGGGGCGCGTGGCGGCTCACATACGACAAAAGCAGAACTTTTTTAATAATATCAACCTATTTGAGTTTCGTAAAGACATTTGTTCATTAAAGATGTGGGGAAACTAGATAAAACAATATAATTCAATGTTTTCTTTTATTTGGAACAAATTTGGAGCACATGTGAACAACGTGCAACATGATGACTTAACAGCAAATTGTTTACTTATTTTACTTTAATTCTTCAATCGTAAATGCAAAAATTTGAAAACAGCTTCTCAGTTGATTGTCTTTAAAAATGAATTATGTAGGGGATTTACAATAATAAAGAGTGAGAGGGCTAATGATTTGTTTCAAGAATATGGTTTTATTTAACCCCTTGCAGAGTTTCTGTTTGGTGTCTGCACGATATCTTGTTCTTTTTTTTTGTTGTTGTTAAGTTATTTTATACATTTGGTTTGTTTGTTTTGTGTAATTGTATGGCCTTCTATTCGATTCATTGTATATCTGACATGTCAGTCAGTTCAATTAAGTCGGAATTAGGTTTGGCCTATTTTTACCTTATTTTTTGAAAGGCAAATAAAAATATATTTTTTTATTTTTTTTGTATAAAATCTGTGTAAATTTTATTTGTTTATTTATTTTTATTTATTTATTTATTTATTTTTTTGGAACTATGCCTTTAACCTTAAAATTTCGGTGGAATGTAAACATTGCAATAACAACATCCGGGTCACTATATCATGCTACTGCCTTTGGTTACCTTTACCAGTCCATCAGTGAAAACTCACCTTCTATACAATCTATCGAAACATCATCTAAAGTTACATATTTGGAACAGGAAACCAAACAGTAAACGAACAAAAACAGAGAAAAAAACCCTAAGACAAAACTAATCGATTTGACCGTGAAAGGAGTGGTCGATCCGCCCTAGAGTCGCACTCGAGAGCTGGTCTGGACTCTAGTTGAGCAATCTGATAAAAAGTACAGAAACTAAAGGCGCATAGCAAGTATTTTATAACCTAATACATCAAATAGTAGCAATATATAACTTTTATATATAACAATGTCGTCCTGGGGGATCTTTATGCGGAGACAGCAGCAGTTTTGCTCGCTGTTAAAACTTCATCAACTCAACATCCAGCCCCTGTGTCATCAGAGAGGTAAGAGTTGATCGACGGATACTGTACGCTATCTATATAGTGCACTTAAGTGTTTAGAGATGTATTTTTCTTTTAGGATTGCATAAAACAACTGCTGTCAAAACATACGACGTGAGAAAGGTGGAGTTAACACCACTGGAACAAAGGAAACTCACCTTTGACTCCCATGCGCTCGTCAAAGAGCTGGAATCAAGCGGTAAGTTATGTTTACTACAGCAGTTAAAGAGCCCATATTATACATGAAATAGGGTCATATCCTGGTTGTAAGGGTCTCCAACAACAGTCTAATATGCATGCAAGGTCAAAAAACACTTTCATGGTCTTATAATCTGCATTTATTTTTACCTAATTATCCCAGCGACTCCTGTATGAATCGTCCAGTGATTCATTTGTTCCCAAACCCCTCCTTAGCGCGGAGCTAATCTGCGCTGATTGGACCGATGACAGTCTGTCGCGATTGGTCGACTGCCTTCAGTCAGAGAGGGAAATGGCCAATAGCTAATCAGCAATTTAAAAAGTAATCACAGTTCATACACGCTCGATAGTGCAGACGTGGATTTTAGCTGCCACACTATGGCGAGTGGATAGTGCCACGGATAACCGAACGAAGGAGACAGTCGTGTACTGGCCATACCACACACACACAAAAACACACACACACCTCCGGATGACAACGCTCCCGCTTCCGCCCGCACCCGCCAGGTTTTAGCCTGAGAACCCGCTCCGTTTTCTGCCCGCCGCGCCCGGTCCCGCTAGAGCGGAGAACACAACCAAAAATCACCCAGTATACAGTCCAGACAGCCAAGCTGTCGTTCGTTCGTTCGCTCGCTCTCTCTCTCTCTCTCTCTCTCATACGCGCGCGTGCGCACTAACACACACACAAGCACCACGCAGACTCTCTCTTTCTAATTCGCATAGCAATATCCGTGATATTGCTAGACAGCCCGCTCCCGTCCCAAATTAAACCCGTTACCGACCGCTCCCGCGATTTATTCGGAAATTTATTCCCGCGGCTGTCCCCGCGCCAGATTTCTGCGGCGCGGGAATAAATTTCCGAATAAATCGCGGGAGCAGAACTCTAGCACGGAGCTCCATAAACAAACAGCACGCGTCGCGTTTTTAACGTGACTTTGCACGCGATAAGATAAAATATCCAGTTAACCTGATACAGTACACGCGGTTACAAGTAACAAATCACAACTAAATACATTTGCAAGCTAGAGTCAACGAGGCAACAACTTTAACCGCACGTACTTACACTTGAGAAATGGAAGAAACCCATCCTGATGTCCATCAGTAAGTTACTGATCCTTCCTTTAACAAACGCAGATGAAGTATTCTTTGTAGCATGTAGCTTCCAGAAGTTTCCAGTAGTTTCCAACTGCTTGGCTATAATGCTGAGGTTTCATCTTTGGGTAGAGACTCAATATATCCATCTGCAATGTGACTTCAATCGACCGGCATGTTTGTGTGCGTGTGTTTGTGGGTGTGCGTGTGTTTGTGGGTGTGTGTGTGTCTGGGTTACTGCGTCAGAGGGCGGGGCCTCAGGTTTGAAATCTCCCGGGTTTGCGCGTGCACGTGAAAAACTTTGTTTCGTTCGTACGTCATGGCGAAACACCTAATGAGTCGGTATCAAGGCGACTCGTTTGAAGCACTATGAATCGACTCTTTTATAGATGAATCAACAGTTTTAAACACTGTATTCTTACAGATTTAAGCCTTAGCTGGATACTTCACTTCACTTAGAGCTGTGTTACACACTACATGGAGGGGAATTTTCAAAAACCCATAATATGGGCTCTTTAAGCTGCTTTTCCACTATCGTGCCAAACCGTTCTAAGAACACTTCGGTACGGTTACGGTTGTTTCTCCACTGAGCCTGGAACGGCGCGGCACGATTACAAACCGTTCTCGGCCCGGAATTCTCGGCACGGTTAGACAACCGTGCTGAACTGTGCTGACAGATTCTGTGTGTTGACGTCGCGACTCGGTTGCTAAGCTACCACAGCTGGCTCAGCAGAAGCGCGCTAGTCATCAGACATCCTCAATAAACTACAGTACATTTAATATAAAATAATGATCCAGGTCTAAACGATACAGTTTGAAAAGGGTTTTAAAACCATAGCGTAGTCTTTGGCAGAGAAGTGAATAACTCATCACATTTTTACGAAGATATTTTATTCATTAAAGTTATTATTTTATTGACTTTAATACAGACCCTTCTTCGCCTGCCTGAAAGTGAGTTTATTGCACGCAGCGCTGTATTTCACAGCACAAAACTCGCTCTGATCCGGGAGAGGAGAGACATGCCAGCGACTTGCGCTGCTGACTTTTTTTTCCTGCTGCGCATCGAATAAAGCGAATAAAGTCACGCTTTGCATCGTCGATGTCCAAATTCCACAACAACATCACTATATCCATGGAACACGAACTTGCAGACTCTTTTAACAACGAGGAAATAATTGCACTTTTTAATTCAAAGCCAGGACAGCTTGTTAATACCGGCGAGACCACCTGAAGGACGGCGTGTTCGTGTTGTAATGTCGGCCGTCCAAAAGACTTTGCTTGAAAGCTTTACGGAGCGGCACTGTAACTGTCCAAGGTACTGTTGTATGATTTATATTATAGCATATGCACTAATAAACAAGTCAAAAGAATGAATGAATTAAATAAATATGGATTCTTAAATGTCAGTATTGCTTTTACTCAAAAATATCAATAGCTACGTTTTGACAAATGTTTTATAAAAATAAAATGAGCAATTTTTATCATTTCAGCTATAGGCAATTATATGATTCAGTTTTACATAAGTTATATGACATTTATGAGGCATGTAACATGTTTCTGTGTTTTTGTTTTTTTGTGGTGATCTTTAATATAGCTATGCAAATATTTTCTAAAACGTCTAGCAATAATTCGCCTACAGCTTGTTAGTTAATTATGAACACAAAATTATTATAATAATAAAAATAAAATGATTAAAATAAAAAGATAATAGAGCAGCATTTTGCTAAATATAATAGTGCTTTATATGCTTTAAATCCTGCAATATATGTGTTGATTCATATTCGTTTTTTTTTTCACTTGCTGCATTCGTTATTTAATGTTTGAATAGTAAAACAAATAACAACCAGCGCTTAATTGGTTTCATTTTACCATCAAAATGTAGTATATTTTATATCATTATCAACTTTTGATATAAAAACGCAGTGTAATTTAATTAATTGTTAAAAATGAAATAATTTATGTGCTGTGTTTTTGTGAAAGTGCCCGCTCACCTTTGACAAGGCCTGTCCAAAATTATATTTCTGCCACTATAATGCAAATGCACTATTATTGTTGTCTTATCATTGTTTATTTTTCTGTTATGTTCAGAGATTTTAAATATTATTTATTTCCCCTTCAATTATTTTCAATCATCACGTTACATTTTGGTCATTTTCCCTCCAAATAAAATTTAGCCAGAGCTGCGCAACATATAAATAAATAGGGGTGCACATTTAGAATAACAGTGTTTAGTCACATATGGTTGCTTTTGCTTTTATGAAAAAAAAAATAGTTTCGGCTCTTATTTAACTTTAATTGAACAAAAGGAGCCGTTTACATTGCGTTACCAAGGCAACTACTGATGCGTTTTGTGTAATGTTTTAAAGAGCTTTGTCGCAGTACGACAGTGGAAAATGAAACCGTATCCGTGCTGTCTGGCCCGGTTTGGCACGGAATGGAACAGTTCTGTTTAAAGAACGATTCAGCACGATAGTGGAAAAGCGGTCTCCGATTACTACTGCAAACTGGGCTGAAGTTTTAAGTAGTAAGTAAATAAAGGTTTATTTATATAGCACCTTTTACAGACATTAAGTCTCAAAGTGCTTTACAATAAGAAAAAAACAGAAACAGGTAAAATAACACATCAATTAAAGAAAGCATATTTAAAAATTCAAGTACAGAAACACTAATACTGTTCATTTAAAGCTCGACCAAAAGGATGTGTCTTTAAATGCTTTTTAAAAATGTAAGCTGATCCCAATAGAGAGTTCCAGAGCCTTGGGGCCACAACACAGAAGGCATGTCACCTTTAGGCGAGTACTATCAATGGTTAAAAGGTCTTTGCCAGAACACATCAGAGACCGGCTACATGAGTGACTACGTAAAAGATCTTGAATGTGTAGGGGGCTTGATCATACAGAGCTCTGTAATGTAATGACCAGCATCTTATAATTTACTCTAAAACTAATAGGAAGCCAGTGAAGTGCCTTAGGCAGAGGAGTAATGTGTGACCTCCTACTGGTGTTGGTTAAAACCCTCGCCGCTGCATTCTGTACAACTTGCAATCGATCCATAGAAGATTTGTTTAGACAAGTGAATAGAATATTACAAAAATCCAACCGTGAAGAGATAAAAGCCTGGACATGCATCTCCATCTCTTCCTTTGAAGAAGAAAAGTTGTTGCCATTATGTTTCTAATTTGCATGGTACATGCATGTATGTATATGTATATAATTTTTCCATTATAGTTTCTTGTACATTTTTGTATTAAATATTTGTTGTTGTTAAATGTTACATTTATATGAAAGGATTAGTTAAACACAAGTATATACAATTTATTACTGTAGAATTTACTGTAAAAACATTAATGGGGTTTTTCCAAACCATTGCTCCAGAACTTGGCTGTTAGGTCTCAAATAGAGCAAATAATTTTGTCAGTGAGGGAAACAGTTAATATTTAATTAAATGCATGTTTAATGGCCTGTATTTTACATCATAATCCAGGCTTCGAGAAGAGGCAAGCGGAGCTGATTGTCACAGCATTAGTGACTCTTACTACGGCCAATATTGACATTGTATACAGAGACATGGTGACTGGAGCACATCAGGTAAAGCGTTAACAAAACTGCTGTCAGCAAAAATGTCTCAGTGAACCCAGTTGAATGATATTGGTTTCTTCATTTGTTCTGTGTTAGGAAATCGCTTTACAGCAAATCATGGCTCATCTCGATGCTATCAGGAAAGACATGGTTATCCTGGAGAAGAGTGAATTTGCCAATTTACGTTCAGAAAATGCTGTAAGATTGACATTTAATCCTGTCTTTCATATTTGTTTATTGTTTTAGAATTAGAACAAATGCAAAATAGAGGGGGGGAAACCTGTTCACACGAAACACTAGTTTAACTTTCTGATTGCATTCTAAATCTAGCTACTTTTTGTAATTTGGAGACCCAAATTTTATTAAACTGTCATAACATTTTTATCAACTTAATTATTTAATGTTTCAAATATTTCACACTCAGAAAATGAAAACTGAACTGGAGCAAATAACGAACAGACTGCTGGTGAGTAAAGTGATAATGTGTGAATTTCAGTATTTTCTGATTCATTTAATCATTATGTTTTGTTAAAACTGTAGGAAGAAAGCCAAAAAATAAGAGCTGAAGCAAAGTTAGATATTAATCTGGAGAGAAGCAGAGTTACAGATATGGTAAGAGTGCATTTTAACGTTCTAAACGGTTTAGGAAATAATGCTTTCAGTCACTAAAACGGCTTTTATTCTAGTTTACAGAACAAGAGAAGAAACTGATGGATGTTAGAATGGAGTTTCAAAAAATGGTAAGACAAAAGCAATCGTTTGATTACTTTAAATTGGTATGGAAACATAATAGTACTTTTTTAACCCTACGTTTTCAACAGAATGCAGATATAGAAAGTGAAGCAGTTGAAACGTCAAAGAAAATAGACATCCAAGTAGCGTCTTTGAAAACACTCCTGGAATCGCTCAAGTTGGAGACTGTTAGATATCTTGCAGGTATGGACTCACCATTCTTTTCAAAAACTCTTTCAGATAAGAATATTAACTTCATAACATATTGATTTAACATTTTATTAAGTACTAAAAACAAATCTGTTAACTAAATGATATTTTATTTTTATGCTTCACAGCATGCATCTTTACCTGCTTGGCAATTGCCTTGGGATTCTATCGCTTCTGGAAATGAAGCTCACAAAACTGGAGAGAGTTCAAGTTTTACCTAAACCTCATGTAACTTTATTATCTTTTTGTTAATATTTTTCATGTAAGCAACAAAATTGAGGTGTAAAAACATTTTACTTTAAAGGGCCAAAAAAAATCAAACTCGTTTTAGAGTATATAATCATTTTTTAAAGCTATTGCTAACAATTGCTCAAAGTACATCAACATTAAGTATGTCCAGATAGTCCTCTTTTAAGCAAGTGTAGTACATACTTGTACAATTTTCAGAAAACATTTCTTGAAATGTTTTGAGTTTGAGCATGTTTGAATGCCACTTTACACGAGTATTAAGTGATTTTGTATTTTTAAACAGGGTTATTAAACCTCATCTGGAAACGGAATCAGTTGTGTTGTCGTCAATTCACTTAACTTGAATCACGGAACTTAAAGTCAGAGGTAGGCATTAAATTTCTCATTAGGATAAAAAAAATATTTTTTTTTATGGTATGTAAAATACAAAACAGAAAACAAGCAGAGAACTTTTCCATTTAAACTGAAACTTTATTTAAAATTCAGCAGAAAACTGACAACTTTTATATCAGTCAAAAAGCACACAATCACTTTTCACACAAGACACTATTTCTTACTCAGATTTTTTATTGAATATTCTGCATAAAGAAAAAAAATGCCCTTTCAACCTTTGCGAAAAAGAGAAAAGAAACCACCCTGATTTTATTTCCATTTTGAACTAAGCATTACTTTGAAGCAATACAGCAGTAAACTCTTAACAACTATTTACAAACTGAGGTCAGGGAAATGCTCATAGTAAACTATGTACCATCAAATATTAATAATTTACAATCTGCCCCAAAATTGGATTTAAGGAATTATTAAAGAAACGACTGAAAAGAGTCTCGTTTTTTTTTTTTTTTTTGTAGTCAAGACATGAAGGTAATTCATAAATTAGTATTCAACCACTGTTGACCATTTCCAAAAGAAATCAGAACAAGTATCTTAAATTCAGAACCAAAAACAAACATTTTAAACCTTTTGTTTTATCAATACTACACAAAGTATACCAAAATATCTTTATTTATAAATTAAATTATACATATACATATACCCCAAACGCACATCTTTTTCAGTACATTTCATTGGGCATTCACATGGCAAAAATACCTGAAATGTGCAGGCAAATACAAATACAAAAATGTATTTAAAGTGACTAGCTGAGGTCCCGGCCCCAGAGCTCTGCAATATAAAAATATCCTTCTTTACAAAAACACAAAGGACCAGTTAAATAACCACCAAAAGAAGTGGCTAAAGAGCAGCATAGTTAGAAAACAATTGCACTGGTTTGTGATTCTCCTTCTAACTTAACCTGAACCTCCTCTTTTACCATTGGAGCCTCCATATCATCATCAGCGGGCTCTTCTTTAATACTGGAACACGACGTCTCGTCATCCTGCTCTTGTTTCAAAAAAGCTGTTAAGGGATTTTCTGTAAGCATTTTATTGGGCGAGGGTGTGGTGTCCATAAAGGAGGATGTCTACAACAAAAAAAGGAGGCATTTCAAACATGTTCCAACATTTATTTTTACATAATTCTACAAAAGCAAAATGTAGCTTCATATAATACATTATGATGCACATTAAAGAAATGTCACCCTTAAACGAAAATTGTCATTTACTCATGCAGTACCAAATCTATGCGAGCGTCTTTCTTAAGGTGAACGAACACAGACACATACAATTTTTTTTTTTAAAATGCTGAATTTCCAGGACAGCTGATTCTAAACATTTATTCCCTTCACCTCCTCCATGAAAGTCAATGGTTATTAGGCTGTCTAGTTAATAACATTTATTAAATATCTTGTCTTGTGCACAGTGAGTAAAATTATCATTTTGATGAGACACATTTCCGTACACTTGTAAATAAAGGGGTTTCTACAGTAACGTGAAAGAAAGGCTGGGTAAACTAGACAAAGCTCCTGAAAATGTGAGATGTAGATAAAAACTTATTTCAATCATTATCTGTATGCCTTTACAACAATATATTTGTTTTAATCTGACTTTGCCCACTTTCGACCACTTTCTAGATTTCTGTGTTGGGAGAATCTATGAGCAGACACTAGAGATTTTTTCTGATCTTTCGAACTAATCCTGCAAAATAAGACTTCACTAAAATCTGTGGATTGAAGTTAAAAAGAAGGACTGGTTAAAGAATGTGGTGCTTTTTACAATACCCAAACCAAACATGCAATTTCAGAAGGCAAAAATGTTGATGAACCAGGTCAGTTGGCAGAGTTTGTAATGTTTAGTGTCTGTTTGAACATGACAGAATGGCATTTTTAACTCCTGTAAGTGCTTGAAGGTGGACACGTTGTACACCAATATTTAAGAAAAATAAATGAATGTGAGGTTATTTTAAGAAAAATAGTCTTTAAACCAAGTGTGTAGAGCCTTTGACAACATTTGGAAGAACTCGAAAATGGAGAAGTTCAATTTTTAGATCCTATTTTTCACATGCATTTTAAGTTGTCCACTTCAGTGGTTATCAGATTAATAACAGCATCTTTACTTCAGGTGTAAATTTTGGCCTTACTGTAGAAAATATTTTAATATGAAGAACACTTTCCTACTTGAACTGGGGTGCAGGTAAAATTTTGAAGTAGGTACTTGTATAATAAAATAGGCAATTGCATAACATCACAAACTACTTAAATCAAGACTTACATTTTTGTAGTCTTCATAACATGAGGGATGATAGGTCTAAAAAAAAGCAGAGAAAACAGAATGTAAGCAGATTTAAGATACGATCATATAGAAAAATCAATAAGGGTTTTTCTGTTCATTAGTGAGTTTCTCACCTTTTCATCAACTCTGATGGCATTCTTCAGGTGCCACTCTTCCTCTTCCTCCTCCCAGTACATTTCAAACTGCTCCTGGCAAATCTCGCACAACTGAGGTAAAGAAAGAGTGAAGTCTTTAATTTGACAGGCACTTACTTTCGACTTAAAATAATCATATTGCTTGTTCTCTTACCTCATGAACGACATCCGCTGCAGCCTTCACGCTCTGGAACTCCCTTTCTTTGGCTGCCTCCTGAGTTTTCTGTACAACCTCTTCATGAACTTTTTCAAAGAACTGACTTTTTGCCCTCTCTTCAAGGTCAGCGATTTCCTCAAATTCAATCCAATCCTAAAACACAATTTCCAATGTTAAAATCCTTTGTTCCCTGGCCCCATTTTCAAGAGGCCAATTTATGACCAATAAAAGATAAACATGAAATAAAACCGATTTACCGTCAGACTGTAGTACCAGCGGCGATGCGTGACTTTCTTACTGATGTCTTTCTCTGAGCGGTTCTGTCTGTAGTGCCAGTCCAAATGATCTGCATACACGTCTGTCTGAGATGCAGTAAAACGCATGCCACAGGAATAGCACTGGATTCCAGTATAGAGTTTAGTGATAATGCTTTCGTGTCTCCTGTGGTAAAGAAAATTTTCAAAACATCAGCAATTTTTCCACACTCACATAACATATACTACTCTTAGCTTTGTCAAGTCTCCAGAGTATCTTACTGTTTCATGTCATCCAAAATAAAGCCAGTCAAATCTGGGACACTGTCATCTTCTTCTTGCTCTTGCTCCTCCTCCTCCTCCTCTTCTTCAGGCACAGATATAGTCTGACTAGCTGATGGGGAGTCTAAGACAGATTTTTTTAAATCATGAAATTGGTTTATTTGATACATAAAAGTAAACTGCAATAACTCTTATACAGAAAAGCATTTAATATATCAAAGTATGCATACCAGCTGTTGAGTCTGTAGGTGCAGGTTTAATAATTCCAGTGGATATAAGCTTAGACATCAGATCATTCACATCTATTTGTCTCAATGGCTCTGGCTCAGGCTGTGGAAATTGGGAGACTGAAACAACAAACAATTCACTTAATACATGAAGGGTCTAAAGTAGATTTCACAATCAAAAGCAAAGAAGCAAACAGTAGTGTATAATTGATTTTCAGGTTATCACCAGATAACAGATTTAGAGGATATTTATTACCTGGCTGAAAAGGCATTGGATTTTGGGGCATGAAGTTTTGAGCACCCATCATCTGAAATATAATTTTAAATGTCTGTTTTAGAAAACAACAATACAAAACACTCTGCAACTTTCATAAGAGAGGCAGTACTTACAGGCTGAGGAACACCTCCGACACCCGGACCAGGGAATGGAGGTCTAAATGAACCCTGAAAATCTGATGATGTAGGAACTGGCACACTGAAGTTGGAGGTTTGCGAGACATTTTGCTGCATGGAAAACTGCTGGGCTGGACCACCAAATGAGTTTATGGGTGGCATGTTGAAATTGGGTGGGGGTACAGTAGGGTTTATCATTGGACCTTGACCTTGAGTTTGATCATACATTGTTGGTTCCTGTGGTCTTAGCTGGTTTGGAATATTTGGACCGCAGTATCTTGGAGGGCCCTGTGGGTCATATCTTGGCATGACAGGTGGTGCATCGAACCTTAAGGGTTCAGGCTGCACAGGGTTCTCAAAACGAATCCCACATGTTGGGTTATCAAATCTAACTGGACCCTGCTGTTCATCATAATTAATTATCCTAGCTGGAAAATGTGGTTCCTCATATCCTGGTGGGCCCTGTTGCATTTGAGGGTTATCGAACCTTGGTGGATTAACAAATCTGTTTTGGGGCATTGAGTGATCATAATGAACCGGTGTTGGGGAGTCAAATCTAACATTATGAGGCTCTACGAAGCGCATTGGCCTATGTGAAACTTGTGGGTTGTTAAATCTCACAGGTCTTTCAGGTGCTTTGGGAAATTGTTCAAAGTGGTGAGGGGTATCAAAGCGGTGTCCGGAAAACCTTACAGGTCCACCTGACCCATCAAATCCCCCTGTATTGCTTTCATATCGTGAAGGTGGAACAAATGGTCTTGGAGGTCCATCCAATCTTGGCTCTCTCATGTGGCTAGATGGTCCATCAAAGGGAGCCTGAGGATTTTTGTACCTATCAAAACGTTGATGAATTGGTCCATCATGCCGTGCTGCATTGACCTGCGTTGTAGGTCCTTCTGAGTGACTTGGTGTATTTCCAGGTGATTCACCATGGATTCGCCCACTTCGTCCTTGTTCCAAGAAATGATCGTGCCTGGGAAGACCCTCAACGCTAATTGGACCATCATCTGGGCCTGTGCCAGAGTGCACACTGTTGGGACTTTCAAAACGTGGGCTGATGTCTCCCTCAGGTTGTTGATCCATTTCAGATGGTGAGGATGGCCGTTCAAATGGAAGTACTGTGGATTTTCCACAGATACCATCTAAGCCAACTGGGCTTGGCGAATTTCTGAAAGTAGACCCTGTGCAGGATGGAGGCCTGTCAATTCTTCTGTGATCTTCATGGTCAGAGAGTGGCTTAATGGGATCACCTGACATTTTATGCACATCCAAGCTTTCACTATATTGTTCAGATACTTCATGATGAGGCGGATAGTGATACATTTCATGCAAAGGTAAATGTCCCCCTCTTTGCACTGTGAAAATTGACAAATCATGATAGGAAAAGAATTTAGGTTTACACCCCTATAATACACCAACTTCAACAACATAATGCATATTTGTGTATCACTGGCAGTGGTGAAACTTAAAAATAACACCTGTTTACACGTACAGACAATTTACACAATAGATAAGGACATGCAAACATTATAAGTGAATAAATTTGTACCTGGACGGTGGAGCTGAGTTCTTCTCAACTTTAATTTATGCTCAAGGTAAGCATCAGATATGGTTTCTTGTTTCTTTCTTGATGGATACACTCCCTCATCACATGATTCATCCCAAGAATCTGATCGTTGCCTTTCTTCTTGATATTGAAAAAGTTGGTTGATTTGATGAGCTACGCTGAGAAATTCATCATTGGATATTTCGCCATCAGCACGCCTTTTGCTAGCCTGAAATAAAAAATGTATATTGTAAGGAACTATGTATTAGAAAGAAATTCATTACAAAACCATCAGGAAGTTAGCACACCTTTCTTAAAAGATCCCGTTTACTAGCAGAATGCAGTGCTTCTGGTATTTGTATGTTGCTATCAACACTTAAGCGATGTTGCTTAGGTGTCCGAGGTGTGGGTGGTCTTTGATTAGTGTTCCAAGTTTTGTGTTTCTGGATCCCCATTCGCCCATGTGACAGATCTGTATCTGAGTGTTTAGGACTAAAACAAAGTTGAGAATTTGAGTGAGTTTACAAATTGAATATAATTAAGACAAAAGGTGCAAGTAATTGAAATGACATACTGTTTGTTTTCTTCCCATCCACTCCTCCACCTCTTGCCATCTTTTAGATCTTTATGCTCTGCAGCAGAAATTCTTTGCAGTGATCCATCTTTCTTTTCAGCAGGTCTATCCTCAAGAGGCCTTTTTGGTCGTCTCGAATCAGGAACACTTTTCTTCGTACGTTCATCTCTTGCACTTGGTTGTGGGAAAGCATCATCATGTGGATGCTTACTGAGTCTAGACTTTCCAGACTTGGGAGGTGGACTAATGCTCCTGGTTTTTCTCTTTGGAGACGATCGCCTCTCTTTTCTTTTAGGAGAATGTACGGGTGGAGAACGCGATCTTGACCTTTTTCTAACATTTGCTTTGTTCACTTTGATCTCCTGTTTCAGAAAGGTCTCTAGCTTTTCATGCTTGTTCACAGAGCCATTTATAAGTTTGCCTCTGTTGCTGCTTAACTTCTGATGATCCAAATTTTTGGAACCTTCATCCCTATCTTTTTTCTCTGAGCTTCTTTTCTTCTCTCGAACATCTTCATCTTTTGAATCCATCCTTTCATGCATCTGCTTATGTAGCCTTGGGTCCTTTTTGTTGACTTCAGCAGACTTAGATTGTTCAGACTCCAATCCTCTAGGTCTTACAGGCATCACTTTTCCAGATGGCAACATAGACTTGGATTTAGACTTTTCTTCAACAGCAGAGTTATCCTTTTTTGGAATTCTCAACTTATCCAACTTAGCCGGTCTTTCAGATGAGGCTTGTCCTCTTTTTTCTGGAGCATTTTGAAAGCTTGGTGCAGCTGGACTCTCCTTTTTATGCGTCACTTGTTCTTTTGGATTTACAGCTGTTGTACCAGATCTGTTTAATCTAGGATCTCTGGTTGACAATTTTTCTGATGGGGCAGGAGGCCAAGATTTGGTCTGCGGAACAGGAACCGTTGGATTAACCTTTGGTGAGGCATTGAAACGGACTGGAGCACTGGCATGATGATTTAAAGCCAGAGATGGACTGGCAGCCTATAGGATACAAAAATAAATACATAAATACATTTATATTGAAAGTGTATTTTAGACATTCATCAATCACAATCAAGATTTTCTGCCCAACTGTAATAGACCAACGTAAGTCACAGCAAACATTGTGCAATTCTACAACAGCAAAAACGAACATGCAGTGCTTTCCAGTTCATTAAGTTACAAGCACATGGCCATTTAACTCACCAACTGAGCTTTTGTTTGTTCAAGTTCAAGCTCTATCTTCTTTTGCTGAAGTTCTAACAACTGCTTTTGCTTTGCAAGCAACTGTTGCCTTATCAGCTGCTCTTGAGTCAAGCTTGGTGTTGGAGGTGGTGGTGTAGGCTTCGGGGGCGTTTCTTCAGTCTAAGCAAAGACAAAGGTATACATTTCAGATAAAAAAAATAAAAAAAAACAGCGGAGCTCTTTCCATGACGGATGATAGTCAGTACTAAAAATGCTTACCGGTTTTAAAAATTTGGGGTTGACATGAATGCTGGCATTCACATTTGGTGGCAATGGTTTAATGGGCCATGCAGGATCTACAGAGTTCACACGCACATCAAGTGCATATAGTTTCTTCAAGGGGAAAATTTCATCCCATGTAGAACGCAATTTGAAGAGACTTTTTCTAGTGCCCTCATCAACCTAAGGTGAAAAAAAGAAAAGGGGGGAAATATCTGACTACTCCATGTTTTATAAAACACTGACAATACCACTTTGATTAGAAAAAATACATTTGTTATTACGATTAACATTAAACTACAAATGTGAAAAATTTTTAAGTAATTTAAATGAGGGAAAAAAAAGAGCACATTATGCTCAATCAGGAATTACACCATGGACATAAACTCAAAGAATTATGTACCTTTTCAAATACACAAATAAAGGAATTGACTAGGTTCTTAGCAAACACTTCAAGGTAAGCCCCTCCAACATTCTTCACTATGGAATCCACTAAGTACAAAACTGGAAGCTTCTCAACAGGAGGTGCCTAAAGTGATAGAAAACTGACAAGTTTAGAAAACAACATGGAGAAAATACACAACTACATTGATTTAGATAGTGGAGGTTATAAAATGGCTGGAATAAAAATACTGGCACAAAAAAAAAACTCAAGCTGAAGTCCATCGTTTTGCTGAAAATCCTCAGAGATCAAATGAAAGGAGAAGAAAAAGTTTTCAGATGATGCAAAAATAAAAAAAAAAATCTATGTCCAAGGAAGAAAATTAGGGAAAAGGGACAATCTTCCTCTGTGTTCAGTCTTCAAGCTCAGTCCATCAAGTAGGAAAATGTTTTGTTAGGTTGTCAATACAATTCAGTTTGTTTTTTGACTTTATAAACCCACCAAAGTCTCAGTTGACTATAGAAAGAAGCCCTTTCAGATTTCTCTTGTGTTTTTGTTTCTTGGCCATGAATCCAACTCTAGGATCCATTTAAACCAAAGTTAAAATTAGTCTTCTTATTGGTGAAAAAAGCAGCATTGGATGTTAAAAGTTTTAGTTTGAGTCCAGAAAAAAAAAAGTTCAAGCTGTGATGATCATGCCCCAGTGCAGTTTTTGTAAAATTCCTTCGTTTCTTTTTTTCAAAGTAATTTAACACATTCATTTTTTGATAAGTTTTCAGAAAGAACAATGCACCAATGCAAATGTCTTTGTATTTAATGTCAGACTGCAATTAACATAGCAAATGTATTACCAGAAAAAAATACACTAGGAAATAAAGACAAAAGGACATTTCACATGGTTTATTGTCACAGTTATATACCATTTATTAACATTGCAGCAAAGGATAGAAAAATTACTCAGCAATCTAACACCCCAATCCCTTTATTAGTTCAAGTACAAAGCAATTTTAATGGCGCACATTTGAATTAAAGACTTTAAATCCGTTTTCACGGAGCAGCTATTCTATCTAGTGTAGGACTTCAAATAAATTGAAAACAAACAAGAGTAAAAAAAAAATTTCACTAGCTTTTCAAAAAAACACCCAGCCATCAGTATACATAGGCGGCAAACCACGTGCACCAGCTGGTGAGATGACAGAGCTACAGCATTGAGTATGCAAATACGTCTTTCTGATTGACTGCAAGCTGAAAAGTGGGTTTATACCAACAAATGTAATCATTTCATTTAAAATTAATATGCGAGCAAAACTGTAAAGAACAAAACGGCGATTCGAGTCATTGGGTTGATTACGTAATCCTGGAATTTCACATATCGTTTACTGTTGATACATTATCCATACGTTTAACGATACATACCATTAATAATTCTCGGTTAATTATATAAATACACAGAAACACATAACATAATATAATGAATAATCAGTAATAAAATTAAAATCAAATTGGTGTGAACAGTAATTAGCGTAACGTGGAACGTTGGGTTTCGATCATTATCCTATAATCTGATTGAGAATGTATACGTGGATTATTAACTTCACTGTGCGTCAACGCTAACGTAAAATCCGACTTTGTGAACAGCTGTGACCCAACAAACAGATAAACATGCGGTTTAACTGGCCTAATTTGTAAAAATGTTACTTTGAGTCACAAAAATAGGACACCCTTATAACAAACACAAAAGTAGTGTATTCGGAATTTGATCATTATTAACTACAACACAACGACAAACCTTATGTTACGTCCATTTACACAATGTGGTTAGCGAACTAACGTTAGCCGTGTTGCCGCCATGTTACAGGCCTCATGTCATGTCGTCATTGAACTAACTGGCCACATTCGCGCTAATAGACGATGACTGAAACAAAAAAATAAATCTATTTTCATAAAAACCTTGGCAATTTGTGCTTCAATTATTGCGACGATATCCTTGGTGAACTGGATGTTTTCCTCGGCTAGAATGGTGAGCATGTTGATGTGCGGTTTGCTGTTGAAAGTCAGATCTTCCAGCGAGGACTGATACTCGCGGCAGGCGTCCTCCCTCGCACCGTCGTCCGACATCTTTGAGCCGTTGAGTCGCCGCACAAATTAAACTTTTATACAAACATAACTCGCAACACAGTCCACTTAAACATCTGTATTTCCTTTTAGTTCCCTCTGTGCGTCGAATGCTGTGCCGAATCTCCTCGCGTCTTTCTTTTGTGTAGCTGACGATGTTGTTTCAACTGCGCGTTGCAAAATGTCCGTCGTACTTTAGCAAAGACTGCGCGTCATCTGAAATGTATTTATAGTTGAACGCGCGTCACTGATTTCTTATTGGCTGCTCTGAAACGATCGATTTTGATTGGGTGGTGAAGACTTTGCGCTTAATGTCATTGGCCATAAGAGCACTACTGTTTTAAACAACAGCCTATCAGAATTTAATAATTACATAAATCAACAAAATCACAACAGGGAGTACAATGTAGTCATCACCTTGAAACTGAAGCACGCTTGGATAATCTGCATCGAATGGAGGTTCATTGGGGTTAAATCATAATATAACAATAGACAGTTAAAATGTAGACAGTTTAATTATTAACTCATGATGTATAAATACACAGGACCATAAATTATGTGTATTTTAGTCACCTAACATCTTTTTTTGGGAATAAAAAAAACATTTAAATTCTAATTGGAAAATGGACTCCAGGTATTGGAGGAAACTTCAAACTGAAGGGGGGTGGGATGTCATATTTTGTATCTCTTGCTTTTTCCTCATTATTAAAATACGCCTGTAGCCAGCCTGGTGAAAGAGGTGGTTCCTTTTTCTTAAAATATAGACCTTTTTGCAGTTACTAGCCTCATATACTTTTTAAAAAAATACTTTTTAAGTGCAATTTATTTTTTGCTGGATTAGCTTATCGGATGGGCATAATCACTAAACTTTTTGATGTACCAAAATATTTCCTAAAGATTTAGAAGAAAAAAAGGAGAATAATATTTATTTTTCAAGAACAAATTCATTACATCATATATCATAAGAAAAAAATGATACGGTTCGAGTTTGAAATTAAAAACTAGCCTATTGTCATTTATTAGGCAAACACAAACTCGCCAGCACATTCAACTTTCCTCAGTCATGCTGATGCAACAGCCAAAAGAGGATTCTGCTTTGTCGTAAAGCCTCCTTCTATGGTTATATTCACAATTTATTATGGCATAGCAGTCAAAATAGGACAAATGATTTATGTATATTGTTATACATATTATTGTATAGGATCCTATAGAAAAGATTAATTAAAAAAAGAGATCTGTAAAAGGTGTACTCATTTATTCTGGGCAACGTGTGTGTGTGTGTGTGTGTGTGTGTGTGTGTGTGTGTGTGTGTGTGTGTGTTTGTGTGTGTGTATTATAAATCATTATAAATTCATGTTCATACAGTTAATTAACAAAATAATCAGCAAAAAAATATTTAAATTCCAACTTAATTTATAAATGTATAAATAACCTCAATTTTAATTCAAAAAGAATTTTCAAAAAGATCTCTGGACCACTCAGTTGCAGATAAATTACACTTTGTATTCTCAATACATTCATCATTTGGCATCTGATCAAATTTCAATCTTTTATCACTTAAACACAGATCAGTAGTCTTAGTTTTAAACTCACATTTAATGGAGCACAGTGAGCCTACACGTTTTCGGCTTCTGCCAGTTTTTGGGCCACATGAGTGCTGAAAATGAGAAACAGGGGTGGACTGTAAACATGGTGAAAAAAGCAAGGGACCAGAAACCCCAGGCTCTAATGTGTTGACTCTCCTCTGTTCATTTACTTTAGAAATCTCTGTCACATCCGAAAGGTTCATGTCCATACCGCTTTGACCAGAAGCAAACAAGTCTACAGAGCAATTGTATTTATCCTCATGGTCATCAAACACAATCAGTTCCTGCTTGACTTTGCAGTTTACAGAATGGAGCTCACTTTGTGTGCAGTGCCTGAAATATTTGCCCTTTTCATTATTTACTGAACAAAAAGCCACAGAGGGGCTGTTGGGTATTTTTCTGTTTAAACAAAGTTCTTTTTTGTTAGAAAATGACAATCTGTTATTTGCAGAGCTAAAAGGCTCTGCTTTTAGCCTCGAGAAAGTGGTTGTGAGAAACCTAGGAATTTCATAGGGGTTCAGTGTAGTTTCAGGATTTTCTAAACAGTCATTTTCACAACTCTCTTTTCGTTCAATGATGTTCACACTGCAAATTGGTGGCGTCAGATGTTCTCCACAAATTGGCATTTGTATGCTCACTGAACTGTCAATCTGACAGCATCCGTTTTGCTCTTGAATCCCTTTATCTTTTTCACCTGCACTGCACTCCCTTGTTTCAATGATCTCTGATATCGGAGGTTCAACAAAATCTTGCAAGCTTTCAGATAAAGGTGCATCCTCTAAATTTAAACTTAGATCTTGACCAGAATGACTATAAAGTGCTTTCTCATCAACACGTGCATCAAGATTTTCCACAGGTACAGTTCTTACAAGGTGCTGTGTGGATGTAGTTACTTCATAATCTCTTTGGCTAGAAAAGGTGCTCAGTGGTTTGACAGCATCACATGCAGTGGAAATGTTAAAATGTGCTGGTGAATCAAACATATCGCAGCTTGAGGAAAAAGAATTTCTGTGACTGTTCTGTGTTTCATCCTTCAGTTCTTCATGCTTCGGCTGATTTGTTTCATTTGTTCTGCATTTACTTGTTCTTGTCTCTTTATTTTTTGGTGAAGCAATATTATCACAAACTCTGGACTGCTGTAAAAAGTCATTATTTAATTCTTCTGGAAGAAAGCGTAATCCAGGTGATTGCCACACCTTTGAGATTGTGAACTCTTGACTGCTTGGTAGAGAATTTAACTGTGCACATGATGGAGGAGTGTAATCAAAACTTTGTGAAGTCTGTGAATTCTTCTGTTGTGAAAAACAAACATTGCTTGCAGATTCATAATGGCATGAATTTGAATTCGCTTGCTGGAGGGTTTTAAGATAATCGATTACTGTACATCCCATCAAGGACTCACATGGATCAACTATTTGGCAAGCCACAAACTGTCCAGACAGAGAAGATATCTTGGCTTTTTTACAGGGAACCTGTTTGGAAGAAATGAGTAAAGTTAATAACAAGAGAATCATCTAAACCAGGGGTGTCCAAACTCGGTCCTGGAGGGCCAGGGTCCTGCATAGTTAAGCTGCAACTTCCTTCAACCTGCCTGGGAATTTCTAGTATACCTAGATAGAGCTTGGTTAGCTGGTTCAGGTGTGTTTACTTGGGGTTGGAACTAAAATATGCAGAACACCGGCCCTCCAGGACAGAGTTTTGACACCCCTGATCGAAACATCCCACCACATATTAAAGGAACACTCCACTTTTTTTGACAATAGGCAAATTTTGTAAATCTCCTACAGTTAAACAGTTCAGTTTTACTATTTTTTTAATCCATTCAGCCAATCTCTGGGTCTGGCAGGAGCACATTTAGCTTAGCATAAATCCCTGTATTGACCATTTCAATGTGGTCATGTCATTGGCCCATGAACATTTCATGCTTGTTATCAAACTTATGCTTGTTATGCTTGTTTCATAACTGTAACAAGAGGTGATTCAATCATAACTTAATGTTAAAACAGCCATTCGACAACCCTTTTTGGATTCTCGGAAGCTATAGAAATTAAAAATGTAAAACAGGAAGTAAGTTGGGACCATTGTTTTTGTTTACATCCCACAAAATAGTCTATTAGAACATTAGCATCTCCTTTAAAACTTGTAAAACAGTTTGATCATTAACCTATTTAAAGCTGCACTCTTATGTAGATACATTTTGTATTAAGACAAACAAAAAATGAAAAGTACACTCTCATTCTGGTGTAATAATCAAGGAACATCGCTGACGTACCATGACTGCAGCAGGCGCAATGATATTACGCAGCGCTGCTACCTAGTTATTTACAGCAGCTGGGGACTATTTTCATGTGCTGCATAATATCATTGCACCTACTGCAGCCATGTTATTTTTTTAAATGATAAAACTCAGCAGTTTTACCTCTAGGAGTTGTAAAATGTAAATATTTTAAATATAGTGGAGTGTTTTTTAAGGAAAGCTCTTTAAATGAACAAACGCTTCATACCTTTAACCCAAAAATAACCGATCTCCCTATGAAGCAGTCTTCTAGAGCTTTGACGAGTAGTTCTTGAACAGTATGTTTGCCATCCGATTTCTGTAATTCAATATATCTGTGAACCAACAAAAAAACTATTTTATCAGCAATGAATATAAATACATTTACAACAAAAAATTATTGAGAATATGCTCAAATCAAGTAACATACCGTTGAAGGCCACCAGCAGTAATGCCAAAAAAAGGATTTAAACAGCCACCAAATACAGTCACTCCAAATATATCTTGGTTTCTGGACACTTTAAATGACAGCCTGTATCTGTAGTCCACGTTTTGTGAGTCGCATGTGAATCCACACCTTCCACATGTAACCCTAAAGATATACAATAATTCAGACATACAGTAAATCATAATGTTTCTAGACATTTTATAGATGTTTGAGTATTAATACAGAAAGGTTATATCATTTAGATACCACAGATGCTGAAATACATCATTCTAATGTGAGGTGACTGGGTCTTTATTTTAAATTATTTGGAAAATATTAACTTTTTTCTACTCATCTGGGCACTGCATTCATTCATTTATTCATTCATTCATTTATTCATTCATTCATTCAATTACACATTTATATTAACTAAAATATTTGGTTATTTATTGTAATCTTACATTTTTAATCAATTCATTAATTTTCCTTCAGTTTATTCTCTTTTTTAGAGGTTGTCACAGTGAAATGAACCGGCAACTATCCTATCATGTTTTACACAGCGGATGCCCTTCCGGCCCCAACTAGTCATGGGACGATAACTGTTTTCAAGGTTTTAAAATCGTCAAAATGTTCTGCTATACCGTTTCTAAAGTATGTGTATGATTTTTTTATTACGTTTTTTTTTTTTTTAGGACAACAGTATCTCCAGCAGAAAAGATGTTGTTTTAAATTGTAAAACAATCTGTGTTTTTGAAATAAATGAGAGCAGCAGAAGTCAATATTACATTTATCCAGACACGTTTACTGTTCCAAAATATTTTAAATGTTTGCACAAATGCACACTATATTCTTCATCTTAGTTTGCACTAATTGCACGCAATCTGTTCTGGCCATTATACTGTTGTTTGCACATAAGCCGATTGCATTAGGCACTTTTTTTTTGCATAATAAGCACAAATTTAATAAGTACTTTTTTAAGTACTATACATTGTTTACATTACTCCACAATTAATATTATACATTATTTACATTCATAGATATTTATACATTTCATAATTCTTTCGTTACTTCTGTGTATATATATGTTTATGTCGTGTATGATGTGTTTGTTATGTGTATGACTTTACTGTGGACGGCAAAGTAAGAATTTCATTGTACAGGGAACCGGTTTTCCTTACTGTGCACATGACAATAAACAAATTGAATTAAAAAAAATATATATTGTTTTCAAAAGGGATAAAAGTTTTAGCTTTTATCCAGACATTTAAAAAGAATATATTTTAGAGTAATCATAAAACCATGATATTTCTATCCAAGGTTATCATACCATCAGAATTTTATACCAGCAGCCCATTATTCAATTTTTCATTTATCTGTAGACTTATTTTTCTTTCTTTCATTTATTGTACACTTTTATTACCTTTTCTACATACATACATACATACACACACACACACACACACACACACACACACACACACACATATATATATATATATATATATATATATATATATATATATATATATATATATATATATACACACACACACACACACACACACACACACACACACACACACACACACACACACAGCACTGGTGAACAACTTGAACATACAGATAATAATAATTATGTTATAGCATGATAATACACACACACACTTTCACCAAACACTTATGAGCAAAAATAAAAATCGTAATAGAACAGAAATTAAATGAAACTGTATGAAAAAAAATGGTTTGAAAATTATACTACACACATACCGTTTGTTTTCCAGGCTTACTCTGGATAGACAGTCTTTGCAGCATGGATATAAAAAACAGGAGTCTTGTAGAGAAAGTATTGAGCAACTCACCAGAGCCCGTGTGCTGCTCATTAGTGCCAAGGTTTATAAAAACTGACCCTAATATCATTATGCTCCTCGAAGGATCCCGATGAAAAACTTTCTTTATATGTTTTTATTTAAGACTATATGTGAATGTAGGCTACACTAAAGAACATAAACATCCCAAAACAACAGGGAAAAATAAGCTACAATCAAACTTTAAATTTCAAAACATGAAGGATGCGTTTCTTCCTCGTTGGTTTTCACTCTCCTTTCAATAAAAGAGCACAGCGCCACCTCCCGTACAGGAATTCAAATGATTTGCAGCGATCTTTGTAGATAGCTGTCGGTATTATATTAAATAATGGTTGGGCAAATAAGTTTAAAGTTATCAGAAAATTATAGCTTAAAGTTTGAATAAGTAAAACAAATGTGTTTGATTACCAGAATGATAACGATCGTGCCATCCCCTAGGCTTGTGCCTTGTTCGTAATGGTACTGTAGGTGTCAGTGTTGACGAGCGAGTCTTGTCACTGGCGGGTAAGACCAGCGGAGATTTTTATTCAGAAAATAGTTTTCGAATCGCCAAAAATAAACTATTTTAAACTGTTAAACCATAAAAGTTTTTTCTTTATTGTCTTTATCATTTTTTCTTACTTACCATGAGCTACATATCATCCTAAAAATCTTTAATGCAATCTTTAAAGCTTCTTGTATAAAACCACTGAATGGCTTCTCTATTATAGTGCTAAAAACCATTTTATACTGTGAAAACAAAATAATATGACTCTAAAAATGATTTGTTTAGTTTAGTTACTTACTTACGAATTTGCATTCATAAAACGTCCTGAAGGTCCAAAATGTATTAATAGCATGTTTTATTATTATTTTTGCGTGCTATTAAAACACAATAAATCAGCGACTTAATCACGGTCCTTTACTATTATTTATATAACAAAGCAGATTATTTCACTGTCCTTTAAATAATTTTAAATGTTATAACACAGAATAATAGTTTGTAATGTCACTGAAGAGGAACCTTCAAAATCAACATTGTTTCCCCGGGACCACTGTATGCAAGCACCGCGGGCTCTTTGATTATTTGTTTTTTGTTTTCTTTTAACCCAGTCTGAGTTCGCAGAACTGTTTGTAAATATTCATTTAAACAAACAAACTCTACACGAGTGAAATGTAAAATGATTCACTGGGTTTGCGATCGTGTAATGTAAACAGCTTTATTCTGAAATGTCAGCCCAGTTAGCTGGAATGAAAGTGTCAGTAACGTTAATATCTTTTAACATGAGTTTATGGACGCGCAGCGACGAGATGTAGCAGCAAAACAACTGCCTTGAAAAAACTTTTACTGTGCTATTTTTATTTTTACTCAATCAAGCATTGTATGGGAAAAGTTGAATTGAAAGTATTTGTGTGATGATGACTTCAACGACAAGAAAGATTTATTTGGGACAACATCGTATTGTGAAGACAAGAGGGTAAGATGTGTCTGCGGTCTGAAACTCTGCTGTGCTTCTCTTGATTGTCTACGTTGCCATAGTTTTGTTTACACACTCTGGTTGACAAGGAGCTTTAATGCTTCACTGTTAATTCTTGACCAATGTTTACAAACTTAGTTGACATGGAGCTTTTTAGTGAAGTCCAAGTGAAAACGATGATCTTTAAATCTGATTATTAGCAATCATATATTAACTCTAAGAGATTTTCACTGATATTCAAAAACTGTACATGTATGTTCACCATTATATTACTATTCAAAGACAGTTTCTGTCTTCAAAATGTTGCGTGGTTTGTTGTTGGTCTCAACTTTTAATATTAGCTAAATTTGTGCTTAGTAATTGAGTTATCATTAGATATTTGAATGATTGTTCAAGGTATATAAAAGTGTCCTTTCATTTAACACTTACAGTATATTTATATGTCATCCTAACTATAATATATATATTAGGTATGGACCGGTGTCAGATTCTGATGGTATGAAAACATTGTATAAAAATATCATGTTTTGACAGTATTGTGATTACTGCTCTCAAATATGTTCTTCTGGGTATAAAAAACAACAACGTTTTTTCCTAATGAACACAAGATATTTTAAGAAACTTTTAAAGTATTTTGAAACAGTAAATATGTCAGGCTAAATAATTAAAATTAATAATTGTCCTGCTGTCTTTATTTGTTTACAAAACAGATTTCTTTACAACTTGAAAAGGCACCTTTTAATATCTTTTCTTTGGATATAAAGTAAGAAAGCCACTGCACTGTTCAGGTGCACAGGGTGTTGGTTTGTTAGCAATTTGTTTCTCAAATGTTTGCTGAATTATGTGCTGACCAGTTGCTTCTGATGTGGAGGGTCATTTTCTACTGGAGATATTGTTGCACTAAAAACTAAAAAATAATCATATTTAAAAAACACTTATAAATATCTTGGGAATAGTTTAACAGAAAATTCTTGCCGTTTTTAAACCTTGACTTTTCCAAGGTTTAAAAACGGCAATTATTTTCTTTTATACTATTCCCAAGATATTTATAAGTGTTGCATTTTTGTCTTTGTTTTATGTCTGAACAGAAATTAAAATAGTGTTGTCGTAACCATTTTTTAAAAATTTGTACAGCTTAAGTCTTGCAGATGAGAAGCCCGGACAAAGACAATTAAGTAACCTGTGTCAGGAAGATGTATCAGAGAACAGAAGCTGTATTGCACCAAAAGTATGCATTTAAAATGTATTTCATATAATTTTAAGCCACTGGTAAACATTGTTACACTAAAAACAAATGTTGTTTTTTTTTAAGCAAATCCAGAGTAAGCAGTGGATGCCAGGAGACTCCAGTCTGGCTATGGATGAGGAAATCTTACAAGCCATTGATGAACTTGGTCCAGAAGTCTTGAAGTTTAAGAAGATTGAAAAGATTCAACAAACCGAACCAGCACCATTAAAGAAAAACTGTGACTTTCCAAAAATTCCTGAAATTCAAAAAGAGCAAAACACAGAAAATATCAGCCCTTCAAGTCCATCAGAGCACAAAAGAACCAGAACTCAAGCCAAAAAAGAGGGTGATTGGAAGGATTTGGCCCAAAAACTTTTGTTCAGCGAAACCAAAAAGATTGAAGTAGGAGGACGGACCCATGATTTGAAACAGAACAGAGATTATTCTTCCCCTCAAAAGATCCTGAACTCCATGAAAAAAACATCTAAAGTAGCAAAGAGCAAGCAGAAGTTAAATTTCAGAGAAGTCACCAGCCCTAATGACTCCAAGGATTACATTCTGTTCAGTCCAACACATATGGCTGCTGCTAAAGAGCGGTCAGTGTTGCAGCAGCAGAAGAGATCTCTGAAAAACCAATCAGTGTCTGTGTTGACCCCTCCGCCTGGATTGGATCTTACCGTCCTCGGTGATGCTACACTATCAGATGCAGGTATAGATAAACATTTCTACTGTTGCATGCAGATGTCGCTATTTGATCACCATTTGAAGAAGTGACTTGGCTGGTTAGTTCACCCCATCATGAATATCCTGTTATTTATTCATCCTTATGTCATTCCAAAATTTAGTTCAAAATATCTTTAATCAAATCTGAGAGATTTCTGTTCACCTGAAACTGATGTTTAAAACAATCAAACTTTGGACACGGATGCTTAACCATGATGCATGGCACACAGTAATGAACCTCAGTTGTTCTCAGGCATTAAGCAAGGACGCTTGAGCTCCCATAACAAAATGTATATGGATTTGTTTTTAAGCTTTTACAAAAGTTTTAAAGATTGGCTGAACAGATTTTTACAGGACAGACATAAATCTTGCAGAATTCAATGAGACTATTCTGATTTGAGTTCCAAAGCTGACCTAATTCTGAATGCATTTTTGAAATAATGTGATTGTGGGAGTATATATATATATATATATATATATATATATATATATATATATATATATATATATATATATATATATATATATATATATATTTATTTATTTATAATGCACTCTGTGTCAATACTCAGACCACAGGGTTAGTAGCACATCAACAATCCCACAGTCTTTTTATCTAAACTTTTCGTTTACATGAACAGAGTATTTCGTTAAAATTAATTTAAGTGCCATATACTTTCAAAAGCTTAAAAGCAATATATAGCCTAAAGCAGGTGCACCCTATACAGCATATTGTCATACTTTAACAAAATTAAAACTTAACGTAATTATCATACACTTAAATCTCTGCAGCATCTTGCCTAGTTTGAAAACTCCAGGGTTGTTTTTGTAGATCAACAGCAGACCTTGGAAAACGATTTGTCTGCGCTTGAGTATTTTGGAATATTGCTATTCACATCTAAATCAATTTGAATATTTTATTTATTTAAAAAAATTTGTATGGTCAAATTTTGTATGCATATCAAAGCTCTTTTCCGTTATGAAAGCATTTATTTTTTCAGAATAAGAGTCATTTGATTAGCTTTTATTAAACGTGTCTTGTCCTTTGTTGTTTTATTGAATGCCATTACAATCTGTTTAAATTATTTATTTGTTTTCATATTTTGTGATTGTTTTCATATTTTAAATAAAACTAAAGGATTTAGAAATGGAACGTTCTTTTTACCCCAACACAATTTAATATGGCACTATACAGGCTAAAGAACTTATATTTGTTTAATATTTGCAGCCTACGGCTATGCTTCTCACCATGTATTGTAGACATCTTTTCTAAACAAAAAATTACAGTACAGTATAGAAGCATGTTTATTAAGAAAACCAAAACCACCAAACAAAATAATATTTGAATTCAACACACCACATCACATACAAAAGGTACTTTGCATAAGGTAAACACAGTACCGTCCTGTCAAGTATTGTGAAAAGACAAAACTGAAAATATTGTGTTGAAGTTTTAGCTGAAGAAGTCTATGTTAAAAGCACCACACAGCGGTCAAAATATATATATATATGCAAAGCCTATTTATTCACTTATTTTAAAAAGTTCATAAATGATTGAATATTAAAATATTTATTTAAGACACATCATTCAATGTCACAAGTCATTCAGAAATTACTTCTTTAAAAATTTGCAGATATGATGCTATTTGTCAGCATTTCCTTTTAAAATAAAACTATTAAATGACTTTTGACTTTAAAGCAGGATAAATCAGTTTTTTCTTTTTTGCTGAAATATTGATTGTTTCTTTTTATTGTCCTAAATAGCACAAAGCATCCACATGGGACGTCCTGCTGATCAGTTAGACAAGCTTTTGCTCTCCAGCTGGGGTCTTCCTAAGCCTGTTCTGGAGAAGTACCAGAGTCTCGGTGTTCACAGGATGTTTGAGTGGCAGGCTGAGTGTCTGACTCTGGGCAAAGTGCTGGAGGGCCAGAACCTGGTATATTCTGGTAAAAAAAAAAAAAGTTATCTTCTTTTTAACCACAAATATTTTGTTCATTTCTAAGCTTGTCTGAGTAACAGATCATTTTTTGGTGAATATTAAGAAAATATATGTTATGAAGTTTATGAAGAGAATATGTGTTTCTAGAATATGTGTAATTATTTAATGTTA